AATAAGGATAAAAAAAAAAAAAATAATAAACTGGGTAAAAAAAAGAAATGTCAGTCCAGTACTAATATGAGGAAAGACTATGATTAAACTATAAAGCTATTGCTGATTAAAGTGCAAAGTGTTTTCTTTCCACTGTGTAGATTAAATTTTAGAGAAAAATGTTCTCGCTTATCTTACTCAAAAAGAACCACTCGACAACAGGAGATCTTCAACTGGCACTTTACTTGCAAAGACCCATTCAAGACAGATTCCATACATAATGCATGGAACGTGCCACAGAATGAGCGTCAAATAAAGTCTTCTGCAGACTTTTATACAGCAGCAGAGGCGAGTGGGCGTTCCCTCATAGCCAGCCACAGTCAGACGCAAAAACATGATCCATGGCCGTCGGCGAGTCGGCCTCCAGATGGAGATAGGAGAATGTTTTGGGCATTTTCTCAAAGCAGGAGGGAAAGATGTTCTCAGCCATAATAAAGAAACACAATACAAATATTCACACTGAAAATTCTCCAACATCCATCTACAGCCTGACCTCTCCAGTTCACTGATCTTCCTGTCAAAGTGAGACCTAACCATCTAGGTGGGAAACAAAGTATTTGGCTGAACGCATATGCGGCTGTTTGGCCAAGTATGGCTGACAGCCACCAGTGGGCCACTTTTGGTGAGAGTCTCTTCTTAAGAGGGAGGAAACACCGTGTCTGTGCCTGCGGAGGCGATTAGCAGGCTGAGCTGACCTCGTTCTCAGAGGGACCGATGTGTTTTGAGTAAACACTCGGTGCCGGACGAAAACACAGGCCAGCCCTCTGGCGGTGATCTCATTGTATCCTCATTACTCCAGAACAGGCATGAGAGGTGAGCATCATCACCGTGTTCCTCAGCTGCAGGGAGTCCTTGTGCTCCTAAGTTTTACACAGAGCCAGATCCCACACACACATCCCAGAGGAGGCACCAGGTCACCACCATGACCCTAAAACATCTGGCCATGTCACTACAAGGACATAAAGCAATATTTTACTGTATGACTCTAATGGACAGAATATTAATACTTTAGTAATAAACACACACAGAGGAGCCCCCATCTAAAAAGAAACAATAATAATTTGCATGTCACCACTAGTTTACTCTAACATGAGAGTAAAATGAGCTTTGATTTCATTATATTATTTAAAATTCAGCTGAAATATCTATTTTTTTAGACAACTTTATTGTTTTAAAGTTCAGATTTTTCAAAGTGCAGAAAGTTTGCTGAAAAACTACATTTAAAAATGAACAGTTGAGAGCTCAATAAAACCTTAAAAATGGGTTTAGAATAGTCATATTTGGTCTTTTTATCTAAAAAAATAAAAATCGAAATAAGCTTTTATTCCTTTAAAACAAACTTAAATTTTTTAGGATGAACTACAGTATATTTGTAATATTACGTAACTGCCTCTCTGGTTGTTTGCAAAATGGTCAAACAGTTGGAGCGTGAACTTTATCATGTTATCAGAGGATTAAACTCCCAAAACTTTTAAAATCCATGTGAAAACATTTGTTTCTTATGGTTATTTAAGTTAGCTCAACTCGAAATTTTCTTTTTGATTATACACAAATCTTTTGTGACTAAACTTTAATTTATAACAATTAAAAAAAAAAATCTCTACAGGAACCAGTTGCTGTCCGCCTGCAGGTCTGTTCTGGACTACAATGAGGTGCGTTTCTGCTCCTCTCCTCATATTTGCATCTAAAATCATGAACGCTAAAATGATCTTCTAATATTCCTTTTGGGAATTATAATTATTATAAATTATTATTATAAATATTGGGTGCTCACTGAAAACAAAGCGTTTGAACCTTTATATATTTAGTTCTGTAGTTTACTGTAATCAAGCCATGATAATTTTCTATTCCAAGCAAGTAATTATTAGTTAAATTCAAATCAGTACTTTAATGAGAAGTGTTAATTCTGAAAGGTCTCCAAAGGGAAAAAAACAAGTTTATTTTTAAGAGATTGTTTTTTGACAATATAAAATTTAAAAAAATTAAATATTAACATAATAAAAAAAAAATTAATATTAAAATATTAAAATATATCCTTTTATGGATATAAAAGCAGTGCAGTTACAAACATGCACCATTTTTGTGCCTCTGTGCAGTTTTGTTATATTTTAATGAAAAAGCCAATACAGCTGCATGCTTTAAACAGAAATATTATAGTTTATTTATTTATTGGTCATCTGTAGCTTTATCACTAGAGTTTAGTAATCTCAGACAATGCTTTGTTGGATTAAAAATTAGTCACAGATTTACAACATCGCTTCTGGGCTGCATTTCATGATGGAGCCAGCAGTTAACTCATTTTTATTTCAATGTAGTGTTTTTTGTGTGTAATCAATGGAATACAGCAATTTATTACACGTTGTTTTATCCCAAACTGGAAAAGTAATTTAAAGCAATAAGAGCAAATGATCACAATATGGACTCCTCGCATGTTTCTGCGTTTCAAAAATATTGATATAATTCACTAAATCACTGTTACTGCTCATCATACAAGACTTTACTGGCCAGCAAATCAACTTGTCTTTGTTATGGCTGGTAATTCTGCCCACCATCTGCTGTTTGTAGCTGCCACTGTGTAATTGTCATGCTCCTGGGTGCAGGGGTCACACTGTCAACTAAATTATACCACCACCAGCACCAGGACCATCTTTAGGCTCTAATCAGCCACTGGATCAGATTTTATTTTCCCCTCCACTAAGCCCTGCAGTGTGCAGCCTGCAGATCATAACTCTGCGGGTTTTAGGACCTGAAGGATGTCCTTTCTGAAGATGGGCCTGTTTTTGTCCGTTACCTTCATGCATGTAATCATTGATTGTGCCCATTGTGACAGGCCATCTGTAGGCTCCCATGGGGCTGATCGAGCTGATACTACAGTCTCTCTTAATTTCCAGTTCAACCTAAAACTGGTTTCACAGTGCCTGGTGGCCTCTTGGAAGACTGAACTGGTTTTCAGTTTCTCTTGTGCAAAGATTTTCACTCATAATAAGTGATGCATTTCGATTATGGAAGGGGAGTTTGGGTTTATAATTTTATGTTTTGCATTTATTTTTCTAAAACAAGTTATAGTTAAATTATAAATGTGACTTCTACCCATGGCTCTGCATTTCATTATATTTTCTGATAAATTATGAGGGGAGAAGCTGCATTGTAATAAGCCTATAACTCTGATCCGCCATCAAATAGCTCCCATAAATTAAAGAAATATCCAGGAGACAAGAATGTGCATCACTATTCTTGTTATGAAACTCCTCCATCTGTTTTTTTTTTTTTAGGTGAACCTGCTCTCTCCTCAGACTGGAGGTTTTTGCCGCCTCCTGCTGCAGCCCAGCCGGCCCCCTGCCCTCCCTTTACCCGCCTCCCCTTCTCCTTTTCCCACTGCTGAGGGGAGCAGGACGCGGCCTCTGTGGCGGGAAGCAAATAATCTACAAGCACTTCCTTTATTAAAAAAAAAAAAAAAAAAGTTCACACTCATACACGGATGTCACCACAAGTTGCGACTCACAACGTTTCTGCCCTGAAGGAGGGAGCTACAGGGACCAGGAGAGAAATAGCTTTTATTGCTTTTTTTTTTTTTTCTTCTCTCTAATTAGTTTTTTGTTATGTAGCCTAATTTCCATGTTATATTAGAATTTTTGTTTGACATGTTTTTGGTTTTTATTTGAAAAAAAAAAAAAATATATATATATATATATATATATATATACATATATATGGATGAGGCTCATCAGTTTTATGATCATTCCAATGAGAAGATAGGGTTTATGGATAAAACATGGACCGATGTTTAATCGATTAAACCTTCGACCGATTGATGGACCTGAAGGAGCGGAAACTGAAAACTAAAACGCACTTGTTGTGGAGCTGCACTGTGTCGGGTCTGTTGTTGACAGGCATCGCGCTGACAACCGCTGTCAAAGTGCAGGACCCCTCCTTTTCCCACTTCCGGGTGGCTCCGCTTTGGTCCCTACTGCGCATGTCAGAGTGCTGGACAGCTCCAGAGAGGGAAATTTAAAAACGCTTTTGAAAGAATCAAGTGCAGCAGAGGAATACAGTACGGGGCTCACAACTAGCTCTCACATCCTTCAATATCAACCAAAACAGGTAATTTTCTCTCTCAACACCGCAATATGTTTTTAGATAGCTTGTTTTAAGCTAGTTGCCATTTCAACCTTTTCAAAGACTAAATTAATTGGCAGGCTAAATAAGCCAATTAAAATGTATTTAGATAAAATGCGTTTTCATTATTTAAAAAAAAAAATGACTGCATGCTTTACTTAATACTACAATAAAATGACAGATGCAAGGGTTTTTAAGGGGATTTAATTCAATTCAATTCAAAAATACTTTATTAATCCCAGAGGGAAATTATATGTTGTGGTAACTCATCATCCTGGTTTCATTAAAGAGTTGTTCTAGATGCTGATGGCTGTGGACAGGAAGGAGCTCTTGTAGCGGTCTGTCCTACAACAGATCTGAAGAAGTCTCTGACTGAAGAGACTTTGTTGTTGTATGACAGTCTGATGAAGAGGATGCTGAGGGTTGTCTATAATGTTCTTCATTTTATGAAGAATCCTTCTTTGAACAATCATCTCCAAAGGTTCTAGAGGAGTCCCCAGAACTGAGCCAGCCTTCTTTATGAACTTGTTGATCTGATTTAAGCACCAAAATCTAAAACGAATCAGTAAAATGATGCCTAGCGCCAACAAAAACATACTTATGCCAGACAAAAACTGTGTGGATTTTATTAGTTATTGCCTTAACGTGTTTTTTTAATTCTAAAATCAGATGTTTATATAGTCTATAATCCATTGTACTCTTATGGTGTTTATTCACTTAAAAGCAAGATTGTTGGAAGTTATAATCTTATGAAGCATGTTTATCTAAGTTGGAAGGTTTACAGATAATAGAAACTTGAATTTTTGTTATGTACTGCAGAGATAGGCTACAACATATCCCAGGAAATGATAGAAGGTGGAATAACATCCAGGATGTCGGGAATCATTGAGAATGCCGGTCATCATCCGTCCCCACAGGACTACAGGTAGGATGCTTTAAAGGAACTTCATTTATCACTAGAAGCTCAATGTACAACAATGTGCTTTTTAATTGCTAAATCTTGTCAGTAACATTTAAATCTGAGACCATTCCATGTATAAAATGCATGGTGTTGTGTATCATCCTTCTGGGGTGTTTCCCTAAACAATTGTGGAATAAACGGTTTAATCCATTACATTTAACTTGATGGTGGATGGACAGCTCTGTGTGTGTATGAGAGAGAGAGAGAGAGAGAGGTGGGGCTAAACCATGAAAAAAAGAGGAAAAAATCCTTAAGAATAAATGATTTTCAATCTGAATGGATCTGTCAGAAACCATCAGCTCTGTTTACACTCCTGCTGTCTGTGCATGGAGAGCCTGAGCCTCTCTGCTGTCCAGCTCAGAGGGAGACGGGGCGCTCTGGGTCACCAGTGTCCACAAGTGGTTCCCAATTGGAAACGGAGCAAGGCGAGAGGAGAGGGGAGGGAGGGAGGGAGGAGGCACAAAATTTAGAGTTGTTGAACTCATGAAAAAGCTGTGATGACACATGGAGAACATCCAACTAAATTGCATCGGTGAGCAATTACCATGCTCTGCTAAGTGACAGAGGAAGGTGGTGAAAATGTCCCCGACGTGTTAATGATTCAATAGTTCTTGTCACTACATATTCAGCTAATGTTGTAAATGATTGCAGCATTTCACAGAGTTGCTTTCTTAAAACACACCAAAGTGAGGAAACAAGGACTTCTATCTAATGCATCATCACGCCAGTAAACATTAACACACTGACTCAGTATTTTATGTAAAATAAAATAAAAGTTGATTTCTCTCAAGCATTTAAAGCTCTATCAGGAAATGAGTTAAAGCGTGCTGCTGATTCCTGGCAGCCATAATGTCAAACGTCCCAACACATAGCCCTGACCTCAAACAACATCCACACCCCCTCTCTGCTACGTTCCCAGTTAAGGTGGGTATAGAGGGAGTGGGGGGGTAAGGAGGCTGGAAAGGGACAGGGAAGCAGATGGCATCCTATTTGTCCCTGGGGCTGTCATTCCACCAGATTAATGCGAAGGCCGGTTAAAGAAAAGAAATGACAGAGACAATCAAGGAAGGGTCTGAGGGAAGACAATAGAGACACGTGCCACTGGGCAGATTTGTCGTTTGAGACACAATAGAGTGATCATTTTTCAATAGATGGGGGGCCAACTGTTTCGGGCGACATGTGCTGCTGTCCTGTGTTTCAAACGATCTCATGTGTTGTTTACTTATGATTCAGCCAATGAGTAAGGCGCGGCTACGGTCACCTGACACAGGGGTGGTTTTTTTTCCTGCTAGATTTGGTACGTCTGTATGAAGTGGAGGGTGGGGGTATACTGCTGCAGTGTCCACAGACCCCACAAAGTAACTGAATTTTACATGTTGCCATGGCAACCCCAATTACAGAACCCTGTATGTGTGTGGAGTGGATTCAAGAGGATTCCTCTCGTTCTCTTCAAGCCCCCCTCCCATTTAAAGGCGTAACTGAAGGTTAATTGATGCTGGCTAAACAAATGATTCTGGTCAGTTTTATTTAAAAACTCAGGCGTTTTTTTTTTTACTGGAAAAATATATTCTGAAATGGTTTCTCTAGTTTTTATGGTTTTCTAAAAAAAAAAAAAATAAACAAACCAACATTTCTAATTTGGCACATAATGTAAAAGTTATGTGCCAAAACAAACCATGCCCCCCACACACACACGATGATGTCAAAAGACACTGCCCAGAATTTAAAAAGTATCAACTTTTATCGTTGAATAAAACTGTCACTGTTAAATTACACTTGTGATTAATCTTCTTATTTTAAATCCTGGCCTGCTAATACTTATCTCCACTCAGCAGCTTTCATCTCCCTCATTCAGACTCTTTACGTTGTTTTGTCCATGAGGGATAAAGTCTTCCCTCCTGTGTGTAGATTTAAATCCCACTTGTGATCTATATGTGTGCGTGCGTGTGTGTTTGAGCTCACTGCAGTGTTAACTATGAAAATCCCCCCTCCCCCATCCTCTCCTGAAGACTCCTGACCACGGACCCCTCCCAGCTGAGAGTGGAGGACCTCCCTGGGGACCTGCAGTCCCTGTCGTGGCTCACCTCCGTGGATGTACCCCGGCAGATGGCTGATAGAGGCCACAGTAACGGGCCCTCCCCGAGCAGCCTGCTGGAGCAACAGACAGGTGAGGCTGACAGGGAGGGGGGCAGTGAAACACTCAAACACAGCAAAAAGTCTCTGACGGGATAAATCAAGTCTGATAAAATCCACGATTACCATTATCATTGGTCCACAAACTATTTTTAGAACTAGCCTGAAAAATAGTAGGAAAAAAAACTATGATTAATGTTTCACTTTTTGTAATTTTCCTGCAATTATTCCCATAAAGATAAATAAAAATTAATAACTTTAATGTAGTTTGCTGAAATTTGAACTTCACTAACTTATTTGCTTTAATATTGTGACCAAAACATTAAACAACAATTGATTACACTCAAAAAATAAACTGTTTCCACATCATGATATAGTGGTTATGAACTCCACTATTATAGGCTTGGTATTGACCTGCCACATCTCTGCTCCTGTGCAGAAATCTCCAAAAGGCACATGCAGCAACATGTTTTTAAACTGGAGGCCTCTCATTAGTCGAAGGAATGACTATTGCCTGCTGACTTTCACGTCAGACATTTAAATTAAAATAATGTGCTGCTGAGAAGAGATGGAGTTGTAGCTGTTTTGGATACTAACATCAAGCACAGTCTCATGCAATATTACAAGATTTCACTCTCAGACTTCGTTGTGAATGACTCCACCACCACCACAGCTCAGTATCTGTTAAACTGAGTCACGACCAGTTTTGTGTTTGTGCATGTCAATTAGTTGTGGTGGTCATCTTGAATTGAACTGACTCCAAAATTGTAATCAGTTGTAGATGTTTACGTTTTGAAAGTTTAACTGAAGTCCATTCAGTGGAGATATTTTGCTAACGGACAATCCAGGTTACCTCCAAAGTTAATGCTATAAGCTTTTAAGCAAAAATGTCACAATGCATTGCTCAAAATCTGTGTTGGGGATGACGCTCAGCTTCTACCGCACAAAACTTTAGTACATCATGAGTAAAACTGACCGAGTTACTGACATTTTTGTGTTTTCTAATGTCAGTTGGCTGTGGCGGCCATCTTAAATTGGGTTGGCTCCAAATGGAAAAAGGTTGTAGATTTACCGCCATTGATTATTTCCTAAAAGCTTCATTTCAATCTATCCAGCAGCTCATGACATATTTGGCTAACAAACAGGATTGACTCCAAATTATTATTTGTGAATTTTTAACAAAGCTCTTGGGCAATCAGACTATATATAATAGAGATTATTCTCAAGTACTACTACATCAAATCTTAGGTCAATCTTTAAAGTTGGCTGAGTTAGCCATCTCTATTTGTACAGTAGATGTGTACATCCAATGTTTTCTTTCTGTATTAAAATTTGTCTAGAGGTTCAAGGGATATTTTTGTAACAGACACATGTACACACAGAGACTTCGGCAAAAACATTATCTGCCTTCACCTTTTGGCACAGACCAATTTTAAAACCACTTATATTGTAGTTTTTGTCATAAACTACGGACCCTAATTTCAAGCATCCAAAACTCTAAATGCACGGACACATTATTTTATGAAGCAATAAATATTCAAGCCTTTGTGTTTTTTTTTTAGCTCAACTGAGCAACATGACGATACCAACTAGTCAGAGCTCCATGCTCCACCTCCAGAGTAATATCCAGCACAGCCCCCTGGGATTAAGCATCATCAACACCCACAATGGAAGTGTGAGTCCTCACACAACTGCAGGAAAAACAAAAGTGATTTAACGTGTATAGTTTATTGTAAAATGTCCATGCGTTTGTTTACAGATGTCTCCGTTCTCCATGAATGGGCTCCCTTCCCCTGGATATCAGTGCCCTACCTCAGTTTATCAGCCCACATCCCAACAGGTGTACTCTTTGGCTCAAAGCGGACAGCAGGTACTGCTGAAGAAAGGTTTCATCAGCGAGAAAAAACAGTTCAAGATAAGGTTCTTCATCATGTTTCCCTTTGTGTCTTAGTGCTCAGGTGGTGGGCTTTTTAGCAACGTTTCTTTCAGCAACCCAAGTCTTTTCACACAACCTCGTCTGACTTCACAAGAACAAGAGCTGCAGCCTAAAACGTTCCCCAAACCAATCTACTCCTACAGGTGATTACAAACAAATTAAGATCTCTACGCAAGTTTCCTCATCATCCACTCTGCTGTGAATTGAATTAAATAATAATAATAATTTTCAGCTGTTTGATTGCCATGGCTCTGAAGAACAGCAAAACTGGCAGCCTCCCAGTCAGTGAGATCTATAGCTTTATGAAGGAACACTTTCCTTATTTTAAGGTATGATCTTTTGGCAACATAACAGATAAATACTAAAACGACAATGTAAATGTAACCTAAAAAAAACTGATTATTCTTTGCACACAGACTGCACCTGATGGATGGAAGAATTCAGTCCGACACAACCTTTCCTTAAACAAATGCTTTGAAAAGGTTGAAAACAAGACGAGCAGCTCATCCCGTAAGGGCTGTCTGTGGGCGCTGAACCCGGCCAAAATTGACAAGATGGAGGAAGAGATGCAGAAGTGGAAACGCAAGGACCTCCCAGCCATTCGCCGCAGCATGGCCAACCCTGGTCAGAAGTGTACTTTGTCAAACATAAAGGTCAAACCTCATGTTTTTTTTTTAAATCAGTCTAACCGTCTATTTTTTCTTCTGAACAGATGAGTTGGACAAACTGATCACGGACCGCCCAGAGAGCTGCAGACGGAAGCCTTTAGAGCCCGGTATGACCCAGCTGCCTGGCTGTCCAACCGGGCTCCAGTTAGCAGTCCCAGGCCAGATGCAGCCTCAGCCCATAGTCGCATTGTCCCTGCCATGTTTCCCCATGCACCAGCACCACCAGCTTCAAGCTCAACTCCAGGCTCAGGCTCGACTGGCCCCCATGTCCCCTGCTCCAGCCCAGACGCCTCCCCTCCACACCGTCCCCGACCTCTCTCACAGTCCGCTCACCCAGCAGTCCAACAAGCCGCCTGATGATTTCTACAGCATGCACGGTGACACAAACACAGAGGTAGATGCACTGGACCCAAGCATCATGGATTTTGCCCTTCAAGGTAAGCACAGTTTTGATATCAACCAAATGATGGCTTCTGTGTTTTCCATTTTTCTATAAAGTGAAGTTGGTAAAAGTTGGTTTAAAGTTCAGACTTTTCTTGTTTCATTTATGTCACAGTAATTCTTGAGTATTGTACAATTTGGCACACATTAAAGTCAAAACCTTTCAAACAGGGATTGTGCAGGACTGTTGCAAAGATGGTTCACCAAACAAAAGTATAATTTAAGTTTAATCAACATGTTGCCATGGCAGTTTTGGGTAGAGATTGGAAGAGACAGGAACTCAAATGAAGGGTTTCAGATAGACGTTTAAGTCAGGAGCTGCAGAATTTCCCAAATAAAAAAATCTGTTTTTTAAATCAATAAGATGTTCAAATCGATTCTAATACACTCTAAAAAAAACCACTAAATGAACATAATGTGTTAATGGATTCAGTTTATTATTTAGAAAACAGCAGTGTTGTTGTGTCAGCGCACTAACACCTTGACCTATGTGCTCAGGAAATCTGTGGGAGGAAATGAAGGACGACAGCTTTAACCTGGATGCTTTGGGAACGTTCAGTAACTCCCCCCTCCGACTATCGGACTGTGACTTGGTGACAACCAGCCTCCCTCCCGTCTCCAGTGGGCTGAGCTTACCGCTGTCAGACGTGCAGGTGACAGGGCTCTACACCTCGTACACCTCGCAGGACCCCCTGTCTTCACAGTACATGGGGACCCCGGCCAACAGCAAGCCTATTGCCCTGCTTTAAAGGAGACAAAGTGATCACTGAACACATCTGACATGATTCACTCTGCTGTTTGTGGACGACATAAAACAACAAAAAACGGGTCGGGGTTCTTTTTTGGAAAAAGAAAGTTTTGGACCCTGGAGAACCTTTGGAGAAAAAAATCGAGTTGACAAGAAAACTATGGGTAAACAAACTGACGGCTGTAAGAGAAAAATGTTAACACTTAAAATATTTAGTTTTGCCGAGCGAAGACTGGAAGCCTGTTGAAGTACAAAGACTCTGCGGAGAACTCCATGTAATATAGCATCCATGTGTTGTTCTGCGTTTTAAAGCCTCCCCATTATGTAGCTGTCAGTCTCTTGTCTGTTGTGTTGCGTTAGATGTTCTTGCTGTGATGTTTTATTTATATTTATAAAAAGGCAGCTGGAGAAAGTGATGACTCCATCAATCTTTTGCTGTATATATAATTGAGTGCTTGAATTTGCCACAGAGAAGCTTTTTGGACTGCTTCATCAATCCAAAATGCATTCCTGTAGTCCAGCTTTTTCACATTGCTCTTCTACACTCTGATTAACATGCCTGCAGGTAAAACGTCTGCTGTGCTCATCAATAAACAAACCTTTTTATATTAAAGTACAATCATGGTATTTTTATTAACAAACCTCCCCTGGTAAAACACAAGAAACAGGAAGAGTTCACCAACGCTCACATGAAATGTCATGGCTGATGTTTGATCCGAGGCAAGGCGAATCGACACATTGTTCGAAGGACCCCTTTGGCAAACGGGGTCCACGCTTTACAAACCTGAGTTTCAAGCACTGCTGCTTTACACAGAGAGATCAGGGCAAAAGTAAAATAAATGTTTTGAAATGATCACATACAAACTATTTTCATTATAGTCTGCACATTCAGTAGATAAATCAAAGTAGAAAATAAAAAAACTGTTAACATTAAAAACTGAAATGTCAAACTGGACTTACAATACCCTTTTAAAGTTGTATTTATGATACCAGTACTATTGATTATTGCTACTTTTACAAAAAAACAACAACAGATTTAACAGATTTTTTGAAACATTTGTAGCACATATTTATCTGTTTTTCTTAAATGTTATTCAAAGAGGTTTCAAAGGATAAAGGTGTTTAAGCTTATTTGTATTTAATACATTCATTTTTGTTCCATCTTCAACTAAAAATTACAACTAGCACCCATAAATCAAGTACTTTCTGAAGTCTAATAAATCTTACTTCATTAGACATATTTGTTAAGAAATGTTTAACACTGGTTACTTTTGTGTTTAAATACAGTCAAATAAAATGTGCGGAAACAGCTGAAATGATTTCATGCTCAACTTAAAAGACACTTTCAAACTCGTGATACACAACCCACTACTTTTGTGCATTTATTTTTTTTACAAATAATACTTAATAAAATCCTGGGTTGTGTTCTTTTAGAAGTTTTACACCATTTACAACCAAAGTGAATAAGTGCTTCTACACTTCAACAGTACAGCAGACTACAATAGTGTATTGTTTTTAATAATGTAACCTGATAACGTCCCACAGTTTAACTGGTGCTGGTGTTGTCCATAGTGGCGAGCAGATGTGACAGCTTGGCCCTCTGGGAGGGAGAGATGTTCTGACTCATGTGGATGATGCAATCCATGGCGATGTCAGAGTTAGCCTCCACCAAGCTGCACACGAAAAGAAGCACATCAAACATTTTCAAAACTGAAAAGGCAGTGTGGCCTCAAACTACAAAAAAAAAAAAAAAAACAAGTATTCCCAAACTGGGGCGCTGATTTAATATGTAAAAAAACAAATAAATGTTTCGACTCTGTTCAATTCTGAACGCAACCATAAGTGTCAACATGAGCTGGAGGGTTCAAATTTTAATTTTAAATAAAATTAGGTGTCTAAATGATGAAAAAGACTGCAATAGATGGTTACTTGATTCAAGTGAACAAACAGGTGCAAAAAATAAGCAGCCTACATAAGAAGTGTTAGAATAATGTCACAGAGGTAATAAAAACACAACGTAGAGAAACCCAAGTATTTCTAAAGAAGCAGCAGCTTTCGTTTGTGCTGGTTCAAAATCCATCAAGAAAATGCCATTAGACTTGCAAAACAAATGGACTGAGCTAGCAAACTTCTCTTCATTGTTTCCAGCACAAGCAAACTTTGCAAAAATAAACAGGAAGCGTCAATAAAAGGCAAATAAGAAAGAAATGTGTTACAAGTGGATACACGTGCATGCGAGTACAGCCTCAAACATTAGACACGAACTCTAACATAAAAAGGTCAGAGCTCACGCTGGTTCAGCTCTTAATTAGTTATCATTTGATTAAAGCAGCTCTTTGCTGTTAATTCAGCAAATATTTTCAGCTGTTGTCTCCCAGAGCCTCGTGTATCAAAGAGTGTGCAGTTTTCATACTGAAGGCTGGCGTATGGAAAAAATGAGGAAAGTGCATGTTTCTGCTCACCTTTCCTTCGTGCATCTAAATGAACGTGGAAGTGAGCGCACGTGAGACTCCTCCCATGACATGCCTCTATTTAAATATGTAAAAAAAGATGCAAATATGTCTTGCATGTGAGATTCTCAGTACAAAATGGTGTCTAGATGCAGCAAAATGAAAAAATTTAATGGAATGTGAGACAGAGACGCTCCTAAATAAGTAGTAGGTTGTAAAAACATCCTGATGTGTGCTCAATAATCCAGGTAGATAACTCTAACAAGGTAAAGTCAGGTCTTCTGGACGGATTCTTCAGCCTGAAGAAGTCTTCTGGATAAAAGACGAAACATTTCAACAAAGAAGAATCCTGACTTTACCTTGTTAGGTGTAAAAACGTTTGCCACACATGTGAAAAGAGTTGTGTGTGTGTGTGTGTGTTGTTGTTAAATGAAGTGAACCGCACATACCTGCGAATGTGCTTCAAAACGTTTTCTCTTTTCAAGTACTTGATGTTCTCTCGGATGACTGAATGGGTGCCGTCCTCCACGGACAAATGTTTCTCCAGCCACTCGACCACAGCTTGGTTATTATCCCAAAGGTAAGCCTGTGATGGCAGACAGACACAATGTTGAAAACAGATTGGTTTGGTTGTTAACAACGACGTGTTAAAAAACAATGAGTCAAAACGTGTTACTCAGTAATGATCAAACAACAAAAAGGAAAATGTTTTGTTGCAAGTTTGAATGTTGTAAAATGAGAAAAACAAGTCATTTGGGCAGGGAAGAGTAGAGAGATGAGTGCCAAAAATATTAAAAATATAAATATTTGGTCTATAACCTTCGGTCTTGTTTCTCTACAGATTTTTTTAATTAGCAGCTGTTTTGTGTTCACACACCTTAACTGTTCCCTCGGTTTCAACGAACCACCTCCGCAGCATGGACTGCATGTGTCCGTCACTCAGATCCTTGTTGGCCTGCAGAATCTCACACTTGGCCACCTGCTCCAACAGGAGGCGACGCAGGCGCCAGTAGAAAAAGGTCCGTGCATTTTTCCAGTCCAAAATATCCTTTTGAAAAGGTCAAATAAAGTCCAGGTTGGAAATGGCTTAGCTCAGCCCAGATACTAATTCAGTAACACTCTGTTCGGTTATAATGTACAAAAAAAATAATAATAAATTAACTAAATTTTTTTTTTTTCTTTCATTTACCCTTTATTTATACAGGTAGTCTCTTTGAGCCACAAGAACTCATTTTCAAGAGAGACCTGATTAGGGAGCAGATGTGGGCCTTGCTCATGGGCCCAGAGTGGGGTGAATGAGGGTGGGGGCAGGTGCGGGTGCTTCACCTACCCCACCTACATTTTGGATGTTGTCGGTACCGGGGCTTGAACCAGCGATCTTACGATCACAGGCCCACCTTCTCTAACCTCTGCGCCACCACTCCCCCATTGCTCAATAACTTTTCTATACAACAGAAACATTCAAAGAGTCAACATCAAGCTCAATATTAACCTTTTTTTTCCGCTCCCAAAGGTGCAGGTTATTACTCAAGAGCCACAGTATGTATGTGTACATATACTGTGTATATATAT